AGAAGAAGAAGAAAAAAATGCAAAAGTGTGAGGTTTTAAACTCAAAAACTTTTTATTAGGAATTTTCACATACACTGGATGCTCATGAGTTAAATCTTTTGATAAGTGGTGAAATATAGGATGGAGCATCAACTTCAAGAGGATAGGGTACTTAGTGTTGAGTGAATGAAAACTCTTAAATATTTGAGATTTTATATCTAATTAATCTTCAATTTCTATATATATGTTTTTTTGTATGCATACTATGTAGTTGCATTTTCACATTTGAAATTTTATGGGTAGATCCATTGGAAACCTTGATGAAACACAACTCGTCCACTAAGATGACCTAGGAGTTTAATTAGTGCAATAATAATTCTTATGAAAATGAATTAAGTTTTTTCTTTTTTTCTCTCTCTCTCTTTTTATTTTGCTTCAGGACTAGCAAAACTTGAGTTTGTTGTAGGAATTTGATAAGAAGCATTTTATATGCTTTAGTCTCTTCTTTTAGCCTTGATTTTATTAATATTTGCATGGACAATATGTGATTTTCAATATATTTTACATAGTTTTCTTTCTTAGTGAAAAAAGACTTAAATGTATAATAATAGGAGTTTTCAGATTAATTGAATATCTTTTCAAAGTTGATAGACTGAATTGCAAGAAGAAAGGTTCCTTCTTGGGGCCTAAAGAAATGAATCTTTAACTTAAGATCAAAGTGCTCATTGTATAAAAGTTAGAGGACCACATCTACCTTTTACCATTAAAAAAATTCCAAAAGGGGCCAGAAACCGGACACGGTCATGTGGTCGATCCATACTACGCGGTGTCAGCACTAGGCGCAAGCCTTTGAAAACACATCTTCATGTGAAATAAACAGAAGTATCAACACTTACACATTGGTATCAATACTAAAAGTACATCCGGCATTAATAATTCTCTTTACTGTCTTGGGTCTTATTTCTTTTATAAGAAGGTTTTTTAAACTCCATAAATATCCATTTAAAAACTAGATTTAGGGCTTTTGGAGAGAGATTAAGAAAGAGATAGGTAAAGGAGCTCAACTTTAAAAGATCAAAGCTTTAAATTTTATATTATCAAATTTATTTTACTTGTTTTTAAATTTTGTTTTATCATGTCGGATGCATTTATATTCGTCATAAGATCTTTGATTTTCTTTTTTTTTTTTTAACTATATCATAAATTAATTAATTTAGCCATCTAAAGTTACCATATATCCTAGTTAATTTGACATAAAATTTTATAATTTTATGCTTTCAAAGTTTTTTTTTTATGTAAAATATATGTTATTGTTTTTAATAATTTTTAATGATTAATTATCATTAAAATTGATTTAAAGAGTGTAATTGAAACAGAGAGAGAGTTTTATGCAATAACTTTTAAGAATATATACACTAAATTAAATGAAAATCAAAGATAGGCCAACATAATTTGTACAATATTAATAACAAATGTACTTAATTTTCTACTTAAATTAAGAAATTTTACAAAACCTAAAGTCTTTGAAAGTTAATCTAAATTTTACATTAATTGAATATGGTGAAATTAGATGTTTCAGAATTTCAACTTTTGCTATTACTTGGAGTGAATTTAGTTTTCTTTTAATTAGTTTAGTTAATTAATTTATTCAAATCATTTAATTTTAATTATTTAAATAAAGTTAAAATTAATTAATTTAATACTTAATTAGTTTATAATCTTTGTGGAATGACACTTAATTTTCATTATTTTTATTACTTGAACTAATTAGTACTCTTGATAGAGTAAAATTAACTCGTAAGAAACCAATACAAGTATACAACAACAGTCAGAGCTCATCAAAGCAGAAGCAAGTTGTGTTGTGGAGTCATCTTATCTAGGCATGATGGTGGGAATCACTCAACTAACAAGGTCACTACCAAAAACATATGAGGATGTGGATGGATTATTCACCATAGAGGATGACAAAGATGGAGTACCAGATGTCTTTTCTAGGTCACCTTCCATGGATTCTTCCAGTGAGGGGTCAGAGTACGTCGGCATCATTAGCCCTATAGTTTCTAAAGTTCGGACCACCTCTACCATTGAAGGTCTTGAATCTGTCTCGTCTTGGCAACATTCCATGGCCAAACTCACAAACTTCACCACACACTCAGAAGTATATGAACCCATTCTTCCATCAATAATTGAGAATATTATACCAGATTGATATGCAATGTTAACCTGGTGTGCGTGTGAGAGAAGAATATAAATCTTTAGCTGGTCTGAAAGTGATGAAAGATAATTAATTTCAAGCATAAGAGAGGAGAAGGAACTCTGTTTATTACCTCTCGAACGAGGTTTTTGCCGTGTGAAATTGGTTGCATCCCTGTCAAAAGCTCTAAAAACACAACACCAAGGCTATATACATCACTTTTGTCCGTCAACTTATGCGTTAGGAAATACTCCGGATCAAGGTAACCCTACATTTTACATACATAATATTCAAATAATTAATAAGGTACCATACCTGCAATATATACTCATGAACCAATGCTAATTGTCATATATTACTATATACAGTATTTGAATTCATCTCTTTTACTGTAGATATTAATATACATACATATATATAAAGAAGTTTCTAATTTAATTGTATTCAAGTAAAACACTTACTGGAGTCCCCTTTACAACAGTAGACACATGAGCAGGTGCAACACCTTCAATATCTGGCACTGGAGCAAGTCGTGAAAGTCCAAAATCGGCAACCTTTGCAACGAATTTAGAATCCAATAATATGTTGCTGGTCTTGATATCCCGAGGAAATATAGGAGGATTAGCTTTCGTGTGTAGGTAGAGGATTCCCTTGGATGAACCAAGGGCAATTCTCAACCTCAATGCAAAACTCAGAGGTTCTTTAATCTTTCCTACACATGGTACCATACACATAAAACATTATACTAAGGATCACAATATTTGAATATAGAATTAAAGGTTGTCATTTTGCATTTCTTGAACTCATTGGTGTACCTGAAAGATGATCTCGCAAAGTGCCATTTGACATATATTCATACACCAACATCTGTTGACACCAGTGGCCAAATGTGAAAATAAATTTCAATTAACAATGGATAGCGAGCATGAAATTCTATCCAAATACTAAGCTAAGTTGGTTAACCAAATTACTTCCTCATTCATGATTCATCTCTCCATTTTATCATAGGCCGATAAAAGAATGAATTTACATCTTTTTTCCCTCCA